AGATGGCGTGAATGGTACTTATATTTTTGCTGGGAGGATGAGAATTACTTTTCATTTTTGTGTAAACATTCTCTTCAATCTTGATGTGAATCAAGAATGAAGGATTAAAAAGGTAAAGAGCATGTATTTGATTGGGGGGGTGGTTGGATTGCAATTGAAAAAGTTGCACCCTCTTTCTCTGCTTCTCCAAATGCATTGGATTTCTAGTTTAATGGACTTTGATTTTGAAATGACAACGCCATCGAAAGATACATTAAAACAAACTTTAACTACTTCAATCAAAAAGAAGAATATCAAGAAAAACAGATTTCCAAGGAAAAGATTTGTGGAAGGAAGAAAGTTTCTACCGACTCACAAGCATGTTTTTCTGTAGAGAGGATGCTCTTCTTTTCTCCTTAGTTTGATGAAACAAAAATTTATAAGATCTCGTCATCTCTGTGGTTGATTTTTTATTGCTTCTAATTTGATAATGGCACATATATATATATATATATATATATATAAAATAAAAAATAGTGCCTATTCATTTTATTTCTTAAATATTAAAAAAAAATTATTTTAAAACTACATCATTTCAATAAATCTCTATTAAAAAAAACTAAAATACTTTATTTTTAAAACATGAATTAAAGTGTTTTTTATCTTTTTATGTAATACTTTGTAATTTTAAATGATTTTCTTTTTAATATTTAAAAAGTAAAATGAATAAGCACTTATCCCTAATTAATAATACATGACTAATATAAAACTTTGTTGTGACATTAGGCTATATTCGGGTTCTTTTCTACCACACTTTTTCACAGCGAGCGTAGTGAAAATCAAAATTTTATGTATACAATAATTTTTAGAAAAGTAATTTGCACACTACGAAATAAAATTTCGTGGAATGAAGAAGAGAACAATGGGAAATACAAAAAACAAGAACAAAAACTGACACTTTCATTTTCTTCAAGGCCTTCGGCCTAACCTCTACATTTTTTTTTTCCTGACTCAAATACATTTGCAATTTTCTCTACATCCAGCTTTCATCTTGGAAAGCCTAATCCAACCCAAAATTTCTAAATGACTTTTGGGCCAAGCACAAGGAAAACCTAGAAATCTGGGCACAACATTATATGCCACCTTCCCTATAATAAAACCCTAGAGCAAATACAGGGCAAAATTAGCTGAACATCAGGGGTGAGGTAAAGAGGGAAAAAAGAAGAAAAAAGGAAAAGAGGCTAAAGCTGCCCATATTTTACAGACATTCCTTTCATGGAAGTATCTTTTGAAAATATACTACTCCTCAAACGATTAAACCATGAAAGTTTCATTTCCTCGGAGCCTGTACACTGACCCTCACCTTCCTCCTCACCGCTAAACAGGGTTTGGTCTGAGCAGTCTAGTGATGCTCCACATGCTAAATTATATGACTGACATGCTGAATGGCATACCCGGAGCCTGTTATCCCCATCATTATCGCATTTTTGTATTGAGATCTGGTCATAAAGGAATCATGTTCAGCATTAAAGCCAGCAAAATTATCTCATTTTAGGTTTGCTAATAGATTAACTTTAACCTCAGAAACAGAACAGGATGGCTACTCACCCAGCAGGCGAGTCGCTTAGCAGCAGCATTGCAGTAGCTGCTGCCAAATAGACTATTAAAGAATTTCCTAGCACCACCAGGGAATAAACGGTGATAATTGGGCATGACAACAACTTCTTCTAGTTGCTGTAATATGCTAGGTTCACTGGGTGCACAATGCTGTCCTGATAAATCACTCTTAAGCACATTTTTGCAGATTGAAAGACTAGAGAGGAGTGAGGAGCTGTTCTGGCATGTATAGCCTGCATAGTCAGAGCAGCGGAACTCACAAACTCCATTATCACAGACCCCACCGTGAAGACTACATTGTTCATCACAAATAGCTGCAGATAAAATGGCAAGCAAAATGTTAGAAAGGAAATTGCATTAATTACAATACTTCATTGTGTGTGGCTAAGAAGCATGTCTTACAAAAAAACGAAGGAAATGAAAAGAAATATTTTTGGATATGGCAGTCATTTTTATTTTCTATATCATTAAAATTAAGGCCATGCCATCAAAACAGACGGTATGAGCCCCAACTCTCCACTGATTAAGATCCACACAGTGCCCTAATTGGATTAATTTTATATATATTTAGGGGTTGCACACTTAGGTAACACTCCCCACACAGTTGCTGTATGCCGCAACAAGCAAATGTTTAGCTAAAAAGATAAATTAAATACACAAATGTAGAAATTACCAGTGGAGCAGTCGACACCAGTAAAACCATTATCACATTCACAGACTCCATTTGACATGCATTTGCCATGTCCATTGCAATTGCTGGGACAGGATCCTGAGAATTATTTAACAAAGAAGAAAAGACATTGTCAGATGACTGAATACAGTTTATCATTATAAAATTTGGTTAAGTATGTTCTATAGAAATGGTATAATGGATTTTGGAGCTCACGTTTACTACAATCACGACCATGAAACCCTAGAAAACAATGACAGTTTCCCTCAATACAATCCCCATTGAGATTACAAGAATTGGGACATTGTCCAGATACAGGCAAAGGTCCAGTGCTACAGAGTTCATGATAAGCAGGACAAATCAGTTCACCTACAGACATCAAAAAAGATCATGAGGCAAACAGACAGATCTTACAAGATGAAAATTAAGTGGATAAAACAGCTACCACACCATTAAAACCAGGGAACTGAATTGGTCCACCAGCTTGAGGACAGACTTTCCAAATACCATCTACAGCAACCTAAAAAAAGGGAAAATCATAATCACATCATTAGATATATATGAGGGAGAGGAACAATAAACAATTTCAACTATGAAGATGTTTCTTTGCCTAGATTATTTTAATTCATGCAAAGTATTAGAATCAGTCAATCCACAATTAAAAAAATTTTGACATGAAAAGTTATGTACCATGAGCTTGCTTCCATTTGTGGGACAAAGTTTTACCAAATATATGTCAAAGCACAAACTTCAACTTTTAACAGGGCCACAAAAGTAAAAAATGCTCCAACTCATACCTCTAACGAATTATTTATACATCTATGCTGATAGCAACCATTTCCTTGTGTCATGGAGCCACGCACAAAACCAGTACGTACTAATGATGAGGCCATACACCTAAGCATTAACAAAGAACAAATTTATCAATGATATTATGACAGTTTTTAAGTTGTTCTCAATAAATCTTCCTAGGGATATGTCACCTGGAATTACTCCCTCGCACTTCACCTAACATTCTGTCTGGAGCCCGTGCACTGTTAGTGTCAGTACATGATCCATCAGAGTAGGCCACAAAGTAAGTGCAATAATCAGCCAGTGAGGACTGACCACCTGCAAAGACCAATATAAAAGCTAATAGTACCTCACCTACGACCAAACTAAGAAGAAATTGATGCCATTAGAAACCCATTCCCTCCCCCTAAGAAAAAAAAATAATAATAAAGTTCATACCTAACCTAACTCATGATAAAATCAACCCAAAAGATCAGAACCACATACCTTTATTAGCCTGTGGAAAATAGCGAGCCCATTGAGGGAGGTCCCCACTATAACTTACAATTGGGCAGTAACCTTCTGCTTCCCGGTTATATGTACAACCAGACAACTGGGTAGTGTTGCAATGGTATGCACCCTTCCAGAAATTGCAAGGAGAGGTAACAAATTCAGTTCCTTGGTTGTGACCCCAATCAAGACGGTCTGCCATGCTATAGTTGGCTTGATACCAGCCACTGTCCTCCAATAAAGCCAAAGTCATTTTTGAAACTACTGATCTTGTATCCACAGACCCTGTCATGATCTCATTCATCAAAAGCCTTTTCTCCCAGTGAGATCCTACAGGCAAGGTACAAATTGAACATTAAACATCAAAAATGCTAGAAGGAATGTAGGAGCCCATGTAGGCACATCTCTCATTGCCTAAAGGTAATTCATGTATCTTATATGCCACTGACTTGACTATTTCTATTTTTCAATACCAACATATAACATGATTGAAATCTTTCACTAAAATCATATTATGAATCCTATACTGGTTTTGAGATGTTAGAGTGGTAAATCTAAAAGCTGAAATATCTATCATGGAGTGGGATGAAATGGAAACCTGATGTGCCACGTCCTCCCCCATCTTCTAGCTCTAAACCAGTAAAATTCTCAGAGAATGCCTGCCAAGGAAACAAGGAGTAACTTATTTTATGATTTCATTTGAGACTTCAAAAAGATAGTAGCATTAAACTCCACCAGCAAAGAAGTTGAAGTACCCCATAATGATGTCTTGAGTGCATAACAACACGAGGAAGCACCACACGTGTCACCATCCTCCCGAGCTTTTCATCCATTAACTGTTCAGTGACCTGCAAATAGAGATGATGAAGTGAGGGCAAGGTACAAAATCGGATATCCATGAAATCCATAGATTACAAAGGCAAGTAATGACTGTTCTACAAATTCGTAGTAGGAAGACATGAGAAAGGATGGTTCTGGAAAGTGAAAGCATAAATGTAAAGTACTGAGATTCAACTAAGCTTCATTTTTGGGGATCAATTAAGAAACTCCTAAGGGTTTGATTTTCAGCATCCAACTATTAAAGTACTTGCTCCGAATATTTATTAGATGACAAGTGCAACCATCCTTTAATCTCCAATATGTTGTATACCTGAATACGCCTCCTTTTCCTCTCATCCCTAAAATGGGCAAAAGCATGGGGATCAAACCCAAGAACATGCATAACCTGGCATAGAATGAAAAAAATAAGTTTGGTACAGGAAGTTGCCTTAACAAATTTCCACATTTATTAATTCATAAATCAACGGACCTCATGGATAAGAGTAGCTGAGAGCAAACTCTCAGCTTCGGCTGTTAAGTGGCGAGGAGCAACATTTACATGTCCTACAATGTAGAAGTAAACAAGTTGTTTAATTTCATCTGACAACTACACAACAGAAGCATGATATTGCAAACAGTGATGCTACATAAAAATGTTACCAGCAATTGCACGCCCCCACTGATCACGCTCACATGCCACTGCCCATGCCAGAGTGTTGCCAGTTGTAGGCCTTGTAGTTACCAGAAGAACCAAGTCTGCATCAACAACACCCTCTGTGTACAAAATCAGAAGAAGATAGTTAAATAAAAATGACTATTAAAAGAAATCCATTAGTAACCAATATGATGAGAAAAGCAATATCTAAAGAAAGTAACTCAGATGCAATGAGATACCTTCAACATATTCCCGAGGAAGCTGTACACCACCGTCTTGTCCACACGCAGAATATCCACTTAACCGTAGGTTTCCTTTCACAGGTTCCACTGCTAAGGCTCTCTTGAACCACTCTGCAGTCTGTCCGAGAGCCTTCATGAATTTTCTTTCAAAAATTAGCATCTTTTAGATCATAACTGTAAGAGAAGAGGATGGAAGATAATGAAACATAGATTAACCTTGCGAAGGCGCCGCCGTTTATCCTCCCCAGATATATCATCCAGGGTACAATTATACCAGCAGTCACCATAAATTGGAGGATCTCCATGAGGATTGCAAGAGGGATTGCCAGGAGAACTCACAGGAGGTTCCCCAAGCTGGTAATAGAAAGGGGAAGATGAGAAGAGAGGGAAAAGAGCCAAGTAAATATTAATTAAACTGCAATGACAGCCATAAAAAACAGAAATAAGTTTTCCAAGCAACCAATAACACCAACCTTGACAATGTCACCAACTGTTCGACAATCTCTGTCAGGAGAATGGCCAACAGCATCATAATTTAAATATATTCTTATAGGTTGCTTTGCATCATCTCTCTTCCCTGGCAAATTAGGGATACTGAGCAATGTCCTTCCTGCATGTTGAAGGGGCTTTGAAATACCAGGTTGCTCATAAACCTGTGGTGTAACAGAGTAAACCTTGCGTCCTGGTCGCCGCCTCTGCTCAAGTATCTGATCATGAATGCATGAATGCGAAATAATGTTCTTGCTTCCCTTTTCTGGGCCATTCCAATGCAGTTGTTCCTCCTGGGATTTTCCGGTAGCAGCTTGGAACCATGACCATATCAACAAAAGCTGACACAGACAGCACAGATACACAGGTCAATGAAGAACAAAACAAATTCATGTTTCTTCAGAAAACAAAAAACCATTCCTGATAGCAAGGAAAAGAAAAGCCAAAATGTTATAAATAAAACAGGATCTCTACAACATAGCACAAGGTAAAGAAACCAACAGATCTGACAAACCCTAGCTCAGAGTCGCTAGTACCAGCAAAAAGATAAGATTTTCAAAAGCCATATGCTTAATTCAGCTTAACAACAAGCTTTTTATCCACAATCTTCGTTGTAGAAGGCCAAACCCTAAGCTTCAGATTTGGACTAAAAGACCAAAAGCGAGTAATTAGATTAAAACCCATAGTTTAAAATTAAGAAAGAAGAATAGTAAAGTTTTGCAAGAAGAAAATAGCAAATATAAAACGTAAGAACCCAAAAATATTAACTACTAATAAAAAGCCATTTCTTCCGTTGAATCAAATTTCACTGCTCAAATAAATTCTGTAACTTCTGTTTGGTTAGGAAGAAAACTCAGATAAAAATTAAAAGTTGGGTATCCTCCGATTGTCATGTTCCAGGAAATGAGTTTTACTTGGTAAAAAAATCTCAAATTCCTGAAATTTTCTAACTAATTTCTTAATGAAAACAGTCTAAATTTCTAAATCAATCTCTAAATCGACATTAAAAGATTAATCAAAACTAACAATACAGAATGGGAAAAGGGCTGAAAATCTGAGCGCAAAATCGCAACAGCTACCAGAGCTCACCTCGAACAAAAAGGCAGCAAATTGAAGCTTTCTGTCAAATCTGAATCCGGCACATAAACCACGGCTGACTGCAACCTCCATGAAATGTCGAAAACCTCTGGCACCAACACTTCCAGTTCCATCAAATTGCCCGCGATTGCTCAATCGGCTTGAAGACCCAGAAAAATGGCCGGCTAGTCCACATTTCAATTGCCTAACCCAGATAAAAAACCTCCAAAACAATCCAAAACGAGGCCTCCCAGAATCAAACTAGCTCGAATTCGAACGACCCAGAAAAAAAAAAAAAAACAGAGAATAGAGTGAATCTCAGGTCCTTAATTGCTCAAATACTGAATGTTTTTAACATAAATCTGGAGCTGCTAATGTCTGATGCAGTGATTGGAAAATGCAATGGAAGATTTCTGGGTGCTTTTTTAGATTTGTTTTATGGTTGCAGGCTTGCAGGATGGAGAAACAGTGACAGTAAGGAGAGAAGGAAAAATAAACGAGAGAGAAAAAAATAATAATAACAGATTGGGTGGGGGTGGGTAGGCTGATAAGTTTTCTTAATTTTTTCGGTACTTCAATAAAAAAAAGGGAAAAGTTGGCGGTGTAAAAATGAAAATAAAATATCAGCTACGAAATCGTATACAACCTTCGTAATCCATGAAATTGCGATACAGCCATGCTATTTTCGTATTTTTAAAAGGGTTTTTTCTATGCTCTAAATATACATTTTTGTTATGTATAAATTTATATTAAAAATAAAAATTAATTTATTAATTTATTAATTATTTAATTACATTTATACACTTGACACTAATATTAAAATTAATATTAATTTTTATATTTTTTAAATATATTTATGACAAAATATGTTCTTAAAAACCCCTTTTAAAATTCAATATTTCTTGCATGGAAGAATTAGAACTTTTTTTAACATGATAGAAATTAAATTACATAACAACTCATAGGACATTTATGATAAAAATCAAGAATAGTCTTTCCATACATTTTAAATCTGATATATATTTAACTAGTTCATAAAAATAAAGATAATAAAAAACAATTAAGTAAATATAAATTAGCATATATCATTGTAGAAAAGAGGTTATATGTGCCAATATCTAAGAAATTGAAGCAGATGCAAAAGATCCAATCTCTTGACATCATTTAGATCTACTTATTAGCATTTTTTTGACATTATTGCAATATCATGACTTGATATTTAAAGATCCAAAAAGTTACTAAAAGATTTTCTTCTTTTTATCATGATCAAATGTAGAAACAACATCCATGAAAGATTTGAAGAAGAAACTAGAGATATTTTAGAAGGAAAATGTTTCTTTTTTGTGATTAAAAAGGGGAAATGTACACTTACATTTTCGCTTGAAAAGATGGGGTTGGATTCGTTGGAAGCATCACATGGTGGGTACCTTGCTGCGTAATTTTAATTTTATAATTTTGAAGTATTTTTGACAATTAATTTTTATTGTCATCATACAATCTCAATTGTTTTTGATAATTAGTAATACAAGGATGTTTAGATTGATTTATTTATATATAAAAATTTTGATTATAAATTATATAAAAAATAATAATTTTTTTTTATTCTCAAATTTTTTCACTCGATTTAAAGCTTGGATTTTATATTTTTAATTTAAATTTTCAAAATTTTAATCATTAAGTCACCTATTGAGATTTTAGATTGATTATTTTAATACAATTAATAACTGATAATTAATATTTAATATTTAATAATTATAATTATTTATAATTTAAAGTATTTACACCACTTAATTAAACTTAATAGCTAATAATTATTCTATAACCTCTAAAACAAACGCCCATCGTAATGTCAATATGAATTTTATTTACCAATACGTTTGTAAGATCACAAATCCGTAGCGGGGAGGGCAAAGCCGACCCCTGACAGCATAGCAACCAAAATCTTGTATTTTCTACTGGTAGTATAGTAATTTTTTTTATATTAATAGCATAATATGAGATAATTATTTTTTATTTCTTATCTCATTTCACTTATATGGTATACTACTCGAACTTAAAATTTTTTATTTTTAATAACAAAATAATTATTAAATTATTTAAATGATTGATGACAGAATAATATTTTAATCCAATGTATTGTGGGTAATATTTCCTTTCACCATTTATGGAAAGGATACGAATTAAATCAGTCGTGCCGGTACGTGCTATTGGGTTAAATGGACGGCTCTTATTTTCTGATCAATATTAAGTCACCGGCCCCACGTTTCGAACGGCTCTCCGTGTCAGGTTTTTCTCGCAAGGCATCTTGGTCCCACTTTCACACCAATCAAATAATAAAATTTATTACAAAATGGATTCCTCATCCTTGATCTTAATATTTCCATTAAGGAAAATGTCATCAAATTTTTATAAGGATATTAGAAATCACATTTCAATTTTGTTATTTTTTATTAGAATAAATGTGTAAATAAAGATATCAATTTTATATTTTTTTTATTTAAAAATATTAACTTTATTAGTTTTTAAATAAAGCTATTAACTTTCATTTTTTTCTAAATAAAAATATTAACTTTCAACTTTTTTTATTTAAAAATGTTAATTTTCAATTTTTTCTGTTTAAAAATGTTAACTTTTAACTTTTTTATTTAAAAATTAATTGGGTGGTGATGCTGTGGCTAACGTATTTTTTTATGTTAAATACCTAAATTGATCCCTCAACTTTTATTTTTGAACCAATCCATCCTTAAACTTCAGAAAGTATCGAAAATGTCCTTCAACCTCAATTTTCAGTACTAATTTCGTCCTTCCGTCAGTTAAGTGCTGATGTAACTAATTTTTCTGCTAAGTGATTGACTATTTTACAATTTCAATATTAGGTAGAAAATCTATTATGTAAAAGATGATTATGTGGATTTTTTTAATTTTAAATAATTTAGAAACTACTTTAATACTTAATTTTACTTTATTTATATTTAAAAATAAAAACAATTAATATATTTTCTCATTTAATTAGTTCCACCTACCATAAGTAACTCTTAATTTGTAAAGAAATAAATTAACTCTTATTAAATCAAATCTCACCTACTATAATTATTTCCTAATTCATAGAAGAATCGATTACTTTTTATTTAATTTTATTAAATGGAATTTAATCATGGAAGAATCAATTAAGAAATAATTACAATTTATTTTAATAATTTAAACAAAAAAAGAAGGTTGAGGAAGAAGAACCAAAAAATTATTTTAATTTTATTTTAATTCCATTTAATAAAATTAAATAAAAGTTAATTAATTCTTCAATGAATTAGGAAATAATTATAGGAGATGAGATTTGATTTAATAAAATTAAATGAGAGTTAATTTATTTCTTTACAAATTAAGAGTTACTTATGGTAGGTAAGACTAATTAAATGGGAAAATATATTAATTTTTTTAATTTTTAAATATAAATAAAGTAAAATTAAGAGTTAAAGTAGTTTTTAAATTATTTAAAATTAAAAAAAATTCACATAATCATCTTTTACATGATGGATTTTCCACCTAATATTGAAAATGTAAAATAGTCAATCACTTAGCGAAAAAATTAGTTATATCAGCACTTAACTAACAGGAAGATAAAATTGGTGTTGAAAATTGAAGTTGAAGGATGTTTTCGATACTTTCTTAAGTTCAAAGATGAATTGCTTCAAAAATAAAAGTTAAGGGACCAATTGAGGTATTTAACCTAAAAAAATATGTTAGCCACTTAGCATCACCACCCAATTAATTCTTAAATAGAAAAAGTTGAAAGTTAATATTCTTAAATAAAAAAAAGTTGAAAGTTGACATTCTAAACTAATAAAATTAGCATTCTTAAATAGAATTAGAAACTAATAAAATTAGCATTCTCAAATAGAAAAAAAAAAAAAAAAAAAAAAGAAGAAAAAAAAGAAGAAGAAGAAGCAAAGTTGACATTGTTATTTGCACATTTACTCTTTTCTATTGGATTCTTGAATTAATGTCACAAAACTATGATTTTTGTAAGGATTTATCTCTAACATGTGCCGAGTATAAATTAAACTTCATTAATTAAGGTGTCTACAATTTTTTTTTAATAAATTTTTATATCAATTTTTTAAAAAATTGTGGTGATAAATATTATATTATATTTTAATTAAATTTGATATAAAAATTTATATAAAGTTAATTATAGATATTAATAATTAATAATACTTGCTAACAACCTAAATAATTTAATGATCATTTCTTTCCGTGGAAAATAAGAGATTTTAAGTTCGAGTCACATGCATGCGGGTGGAGTATGGTAAGAGATGTTAGATAATTACCACTAATTATGTAATTAAGAAAAAAAAATAAATAAATAATACTTAACTTGTATTTAAAAATAAAGATTAAAAAATTCTTTTTTATAATTCTATTTTCTGCAAATATTCCGTCTAGGGGTAAATTAATAAATTCCAGGCATTCAATATGGTGGAGGTGGAGGTGGATTTGGTATGGTTAATTTGGACAAGAGTAATTAGTTTTGGAAATTGTAATTAGTTGTTGGAGAGCCACGGGAATGAGCCAAAGGGAATGCAATTTCCAACGAGTTGTTTGAAATTGAAATTTTGAAAAGAAAACATAAAGGTACTTTATTTTATTTCTTAATTGTTTTTTCATTATATAATTGTTTTCGTATTGCATTTTTTAAAATAAAATGTATTAAAAGAAATGTTAGTATGTTACAGATGAAACACACAATCATTTGAATTTTTTTCTTTTATCTTGGATTACATAAATTATTTTTTCTAGTTTATTGATTTTATCACTAATATATTAAGTGATTCGAATTTAAAATATTTTATTTTTATTTAAGAAAAATTAATATTAAATTATTTTAATCAATGGCATCATTTGATTCATTAGATATATATATAATTAAAGTAAATTAAGAGATAAGGAAAAAGAGTTATTTTTTATTAGTATGTAACTTTAAAAATAATGATAACAATAACAATAATAATTTCTGTTTAATTAGATCTTAGAAACCAAAAAGAATATAATGATGCAAGAAGAAGATATAACTTGAGGAAATCAAACTTTTCTTAAGGTAGTAGTTGGGTTTGGTATTTTAGCTTATGTAATGTAATAGACTTATTGTTTAAGCTTCAATTTTTTGCTGCAAATTTGACTCTATGTTGTTTATCCGTAATTTGTAAATGGCTGTGGTCATATTTTCCAAGATGGATGATCGATCAATCTATCTTTGTCTTCGGAGATTAATGTTGGCTGACCAAAGTTAGTTGAAAATGCTGCTCATCTACCTCAACAATTTGCATATCTATGAATTATTTATGTGGTTGATTACCTTAGCCGCAACGAATAACAGTTAATATAATAATTTCAATTAGCAAACATAGCGAATCAAACCTTATATATAATCGAGTCAAAATTCTTACGTGCATGTATTTATTAAAAATGAAGAATGAAAAAACAAAGATTATGTTAATTAATTGTAATGTATCTATGTGTATATATAGGAATTTAGACAAATGTGTTTGATTATTACGCTAAGTTTGAATTAGTTATGAAAGTTGGGTGGTTTTAAATTTCCAGCATAGGTTTTACAAAAAAAAGGAAGACAAATTAAGAAGATGATAACGAAAGATTGCGATACACATTAAAAGTTTACTAATAGTCGAATCTCGATGGGGACTTTCCTAGCTGAGGCATGTGCATATGGCCGTTTATAAGAAGCCTCATTCTGTGTCAACAAATCCTTTCGAATTAATTAATTCGTTAATTGAACATAATCAAAGCTTGAGGTTTTACTTGAAGTACAAGTCTATTAATTAATTTATAAGCTTTTTTTAATTAGAGGATGTAACGATTCAACTTGAACGGGACTAGACTTGTTCCTTATACGTTTTTATTAATTAATTAATTATTATTATTATTATTTAAAAAAAGAAGCATACTCATACGTAACAATAACCATATGGCAAATTTAAACATGTAAGTTACATAAAGTTTGTACACACATAATGCTTCTCCTGAATTTTAGTAGAAAATGCAGATGCTGGAGGAAAACACATACGTATGTACATCAGACTTCCTTTTTTTTTTTTGATGAACTACATGACTTTCAATATATTTGAGAACTTGTTCACACATTTTGTCATCTAGAGACAATTAAATCGTGATAAAATAATACAACAAAGATACCAAAACGTTTTAAATTCAGCGAAAGATGATAAATAGTTAGTGATAATTTTCATTTAATACATAAATTAAAATATTTTAATTTTTTTATGGAAAAATATTTTAAATTTAAATTGTAAATATACAAATAAAATAAATTAAAAATAAGAGATAATTAACTTTGTAGTGCAATTCAAAATTAAAATCAAATATTTCTTAGTTATATATAAAGAATTTCACAAACTACTTTTTCTTGTTGGGTGGTAGTTTACTTATGAGGTTATGTTTGGTACAGTTGATCAGAAGTCATTTTGAACTTTAAAAATTTCAATTACACCAAACATTACAATTTATGAAAAATGTTACAACTTTTCACAAGTTAGTATTTTATTAATTTTATTACAAATCTCAGAAGTACCAAATTAATGTTTCTGTAGGAGCTTCCCATTTGGATTTTAATAAAATTAATATATTATTCTTATTTTATCTTTATTTTTTTTATTTACAAAAACAACATTTCTACAATGATTTTTTTTTAATGAGACTTTTATTAAAAACTTCAATTATACCAAACGACCACTTAATTCACCATGAGCTAGTAGCATACGGACAGTAGTGCTGGTGTTTTGTTGCTTTCTGAAAGATGGTTAGGTAGTATATGATCAAACAAAGATATTTGCTCGGCTGTTGATTACTCGCTTATTATATATAACGAATCAATGATGGAGAAGAAAAAGGTGATTCCTCCATGCGAGAAAAGTAATAATTCCATAAGTTTGGACCTTCTCACAGACTCACACTCACACCATAATTAAAGCCATCGTCATTGACAATGATCTATTATATATGCTTGTTGGCTATGCTTCTGCTTCTATTATTTGAGCAGTTGGGTTTGACACAAATTTCTTGCAATTCTACCATTTAGTAGGTTGCCTAACACATTTCAAAATCAGAATTTGCCCTGTTTTTCTAATGATACAAGCAAAATGCTCAATGTCAATGGAACTGTTACAAGGGAATTTTTAGGGAAAATTCAAGAAAGCAGTCGTTGTACTGCCACGGAAATTGGACCCATCAAATGATTTCATGAGTTTCGATGAGGATTAGGTTAAACCCAAAAAATACTTCAATGTATTTCTGTCATTTCTTTATTGATAAAACCAAAAAAGAAAGAAAAAAAAAAAAGAAACATATAGGAGTACTAGAATCGTTTGTTTATTGCACAATAGGCAAGTTGTTTTACTTTATTTTTTGGAGATAAAATTTGTTTTAGTTTAGGATACATATGGCAGGTCTAGGTCCTTACATTATGGATAGGATTCTTCATTTGATAATAGTCTTTACTATAGGGAAGCTATAAGACAAGTGGGACTTGGGCATTGTCATCTGAGTCATCTCCAGCTAGCCCTACCCACATGGAACCGTCCCTACCTTGGAGCTTGGACGCTCACGCTTTTTCATCTAGAAGATTGTAACCAAGGAAGTCACGTTCTGTGCTGCTATAAAATAATCATTACATTTATGTTACTGTTATAGACTTACAGTAATAATATTCCCTATTTTAAAATAATTATTTTTTAAAATTAAAAATTTTGAGGTAATTTATTTATTTACCTATATATTATCTTTGAAAAAGAGATAAAAAAAAATAAAAAGAGAACTTTTGTAATATAATAAATAATTAAAGTAGATAAGAATAAAATTAAAATATTACTCTTTTCATCTTAAAATGATATATATTTTTTATGAAACGGAAAGAGTAAAAAATAATAATTTACCTTAAATATAAAAAAATAATTTTAGATAAATTTAAAATACTAATAATAACAATAATAATAATAATAATAATAATAATAATAATAATAAAACAAATATTGACTGTGTCGTAGATTCCAACAAATTGAAGATTCTGTCTGTAATACATGCACTTGCATAATATATAATAGTAATAGAGATGCAGAGTCTAATTAATTTGTAGTAAAGCCATTGCTTATTGCAAGTTGTTTTAGTGGAGTTTTCTGATACATTACATTTGATACAGTAGTTTTTTTTTTTATTTAAGATTTTTCTGGGCCACTGTTTCTATATATATATGATTTTAAATTATAAAATAAGAAAAAAAAGTTTATCTTTTAACTAACTACATTATTACATGCAACTTAAATTTATAATTTTATTTTTATAAAAATAAAATAACCATTCCACCACGTGGTTAGCGTACAGAAATTTTTAGAGGCGACCTGATGATCATGAGAGCATGCAGCGGTTCTGTCTCCAATTTTTTCTCACCAAAACTTCAGTTTTTTAGTGGTTTTAAAATCTGGCATTTAGAGATTAGAAATGGTTTTTTTTTATTTTTTCAGTAACATTTGGTTTGTCAGAAACGAGACAGACTAATCAATAAGGATAAGCATTACAGTTGTCCTTGCCACACTACCAACGGCATAATTAGAAGAGTTTCTGTGCAACTTGTATTGCTCCTTAAAAAAAAAAAAAGACATGAATTTTGCTATATAAAGACACTGGGGAAGTTGTATTCCAGCTACTACAAACTTTTTTTTTTTTTTTTAACAATGAGAAATTGGGAGAATAAAGATAACACTATAAAGAATTGAACCATAATAATATCCATGGTTAAGGTGTACACTACTAATTAATGAAGTCATAATTGCGGGTGGCAGATACTACAAACTTATTTAAGAGAAAGTTGAGACTTTTGATTGCATATACTTTGCTTGCTCATTCGGGAAAATGTATATATCAATTTTATCAAGAAGTTAAGTGGATTGGGAAAAAAATGATACAATTGAATAGGACATAAAAGATTAATTTGCGTTATAAATACGTGAATATAGTGAGTAAAGAGAAAGAAAAGCAGGACAAAAATACCAATTCCATGGGACAGGGCTTTGAAAATGAGGTTTGGAGTAAGAGACAAACTCAAAATGATTTTGTTTTGCTAGGTTGAACGTAGGGTTCAAAGTTCATTTTTCTTCAGTAAATAAGAAACATCAGAATTTGAGATATCAATTTGCTGTCAAAATAAAGCAGCGGCTGAAATATTATGGAGCTGCAATTGTCGGAACACGTGAGATTTATGAAAATTATGCCTCTGTGTGTCTGTGGTTTGGAAATAAATTAGTAAATACTATAGTACTAGAAGAGAGAAGACAGTTGGGTCGGGAAAGAATTCATTGGACTTTAGATAAATGAAGGGCCCATTGAAGAAATATTCCACAATCACTTGACCGTTCTCATTGGGCCGATTGGCCCTAAGAGCCTTAACTGCAATGGAGCCCACCTAAATAAATTTAGAGAAAATATTTATTCGATTAAACGTGTGAAAAATTAAGTACAAAAATAATTTAAAATTATACCATTTTAATAAATTTATATTAAAAAACAAAAATAACACATGTTGATCTTTATTCTTTGCTTTTAATTTTTTAAAATTATTATTGTTTTTTTAATTTAGGATGCCTTTCACACAAATCAATAATAACTAAAGTTCTTGAAAAAAAGAGTAATGTTATTGTCATACTCTCAATAATTAATTTTACACTTTTTAATTATAATTAATCATTATATCCTACAATTTATTAAGAAACAAAAAAATAAAAAATTTTGAAAAAAAATATAATGTAATGGTAAAATAAATAGCTAAATTTAAAATGTGTGATATTAAATATTTAAAATATGATAATAACCCTACCATAAAAGAATGGGTGAAGACTTTTTCTTGTATAAAAAATCAAGACAAACTATACAACATATCACGAATGAGGGTGGAAATAGGGATGACAATGAGTTCTTGTAGGGGTAGAGGTCCCTTCCTTATCTTTGTCCTTGTCAATTGTGGGTATAGGGATTTTTGGTAGGGGTCAAAAAATTGCCTCCATTCCTATCCTCGTGGGAAATGGTATGTCCCATGGGAATGCAGAGTCCCCACCAATTAGTAAAATGGTAGAGTTTAATCTCATTGTTTTGGTAAATAAATTTATAATATTACATATAAAAAAATTTATAGGGTATAAAAATAAAAACCTACAAAAGTGAAAAGCATGTAAAAAATTTCACAAACAGTGTGAAAAAAGTACTATATAGAGAAATAAAAAAAGAATAGAAATTTGAAACAAGTAAATGTATAAAGTCCAATAAATACATACAATCTAACAAATATAAAAAAAATAGTATACAAAGAACAATAATTTGAAACAAATTATAAGTTTTTGTTTTTATAAATATATTATAATTTATAAAAATATAAATTTATATTGTTTATTATATATGAATACTAACAAAAACTCGTAAAACAAAAAAATTCTTCATAAAATTTTACAAGAAAAAATTATCTCAATCTCTGCTTTACATAAGAAATGTTTTCTAAATCCCCATCCCTATCACAAGGTTCGCCGAATAAATAACCCTATAGGTTTCGGAGTAAATTGCTATTTCCAAGAGGACATCGAAGTCAAGCTCTGGCCGAAAAAACTGACTCTGTCCATTTTAATTAATTCACCACAACCGTGAAGGTCCTCTATTCTTTACAGACAGCTGTTTCCTTCATGCGTCAAAATCGAACATGAAACTGGTGGTTTCTTCCAAGTTCTAAAGACGGATTCCTCCACCTCTAATTTATAGTAACTTCAATGAAATTTTAAAAAATTTCTTCCATTTTCTACCATTCGTTTCTTAGATGAAGTAGCAGTTTGGATAAAACGCTTGACGGAGGTTGTTATATTTCTCGACGTCGAAGTTATGGATCTTCATGAGCTTTTCCTGTTTGGCCTTGAACCGGCGTCGGAAGAACCCTTCAAAGGAGGGTTCTGTGGACGTCCGGAGGAAGAAAGCATAGCCAAAGGCGAAGTGAAGGGAGGTGATGAAGAAGCAAATTGGCTCCATCACGTCCCAGCTTAGTTCCCAAAACGTGAGCCTCATGGCCCCGAGTGTCTGGACCACCAAGAAGCCTAGCCCACACCAGAGCTCTCCACGGACCAGTGCCTTGGCCTTTTGGTCTATCATGGCCTTTTGCTGCTCCATTTGATCCAACTCTCTTCTTCTTGGGTCATTCGGGAGGCCTACAGATTGGGAAATTATGGTCTCAATTAATCTTGCCACCTGTACAACGCGATTCTTTAATCCTTTTATTTGTGAAACCATACATCAAAATATATAATTTAAATCAGCAGAAGATTAAGCGATGAGTGCGGATTGCACATCTAATTATCATTGATGATTCCTTAATAGAGTAATATGCAGTTTAATAAAAAAAGATTAAATAATATAAATTATAAACAATAACAATATCAATTATCATCATTAGTTGCTCCTAATTTTTCGCAATCCAATAACTATATATATCTGATTGTAAGGTGCACCATAAGTTATGGTTGGTTTCGAATCTCCCCTTCCCAATTATAATATGCTCAAAATAAAAAAAATAAAAAAAAAAGGATTAAAACCCCATTTAGTTTTTGAACTATTATACGAACTTCTGATTTGGTTCCTAAACTAAAAAATCTTTGATTTAATTCATACTGTTTGCTCCATTTAACCCCAATTTGGTCTTTTGGTTAAAATTCTATCTACGTGTCCAGTTAATTTACTGTGACATGGTGACATGGTAAAATATTAATATACATGAAAGACAACATGGTAAAAAAGAGTGACATGGAAAAATAATAATGATATAATAAAAAAATATTAATATGACAAAAAAAAGTTTGTTTAATTCCTTCTTTTTTCTTCGAACCTAGCACTGGGTAGCTTGGGTTCCTTCGAACCCGCCATTGGGTTTTGAGGAACCCAGGCGTTGGGTTCCATGGAACCTAGGCCTAAGTTCCTTTGAACCTGGCACTGGGTTCCTTGGAACTCAGGAGAAAAAAATTCTTTTTTTTTGGGTTTTGTTGTTTGATGATGATGATGAATTGATTGATGAAGATGAAGAAGGCAAGGAAGAGAAAGGAGAAAAGGCATTTGTTGGGTTTCTATTGAACTTAGGCACATTCTTTGATAAAAAAAATTTTAAGTTTTTGTGGGTTTTGTTATTTGATGATGATAAAGAATTGATCTATGAAGGGAAGAAGAAGGCGAAAGGGAAAGAGAAAGGAGAAAGGGAATTTTTAAAATTTTTATTACCAAATCATTATTTTCTTTCATGTTGTCTTTCCACGTGGATTATTTTTTGACATATCATTATGCTTATAATAGTTAACAGCACAGTAGGTAGAATTTTAACGGAAGGGCCAAATCAGAGTTAAAATGGTCAACAGTTGAGATTAAATCAGAGATTTTTTTAGTTTATGACTAAATCAAGAATCCGTATAATAGTTTAGGGACCAAAAAAAAGTTTTAACCTAAAAAAAATTATCGCAGCTCACCTTACTAACTCTAAAATTATAATGGTGTTGCGGTCCGTGCTGGGTGATAGATTGCAAACGCCATAGCCACTTGATTAGAGTAGCCTCTACTCTCATCTTATGCAGTTTATTGTTTTATATTTTGATTTATATTCTTAAGAATTAAACTAAAAATAAAACGAAGAAGAAAAAAAAAAAAAAGAAATCATGATTGATAAGTGAATTTATACCTGCTCTGGCCGGAGGAAAACTACGCTGCCTAAGACGATGACGTTTCCAGATTCATCTAACATTTTAGAAAATTCAAATCCCTGCTCCTCGTTTCCGCACGCTTCAACACAGATCTGAAGGAACTCAGAGTAGGAAATCGAATTCTCTGGAATCTTCTTGAGCTTCACTTTTAACTTCTCCATCACAGAGATCCTTAACAAATTTCTCGCATCTTCAGAGGAAAATTTTCGAAAAGAATCACCAGCCACTGGATCTATCGCCGGAGGAGAGATCCATCCCTCCAACCGGAGTTGATCTCCGTTCATGTCAACAGCTCGGAGTTTTTCTCTCAGTTTATCTCCGAAAGGGAAAGCTTCGGCGGGAACAGGTTGATTGCTGCTTTTACGGTGGTAGTACCGCCGGAAAAAGCTTCTCTCGACGAAACCGGACAAGCTGAGGTACTCGCGGTGGAAGTTGATTCTGGCCGCATTTTGTGGCAGTATGTTTTTGAGCGAGGGAGGTGATATGGTTCCATGTTCTAAAGCAACCTCAAGAGATGTAACCGTACGGCCGTTCAATAAACGCTTCGCTAAGGTTCGACGAAGCGCCATTAATGGATTATAGACAGTAATGGAGAAAGGAAAAACTTAGATCGATGTTGGCTTTCGTTGTGAGATCACAGGGAAGGGAGTAGGATCTTTATTTATAGTGTCCAGGGAGATACCTATTATCTCGATCTGGCGCACTGAAGAATCTGGTTCTTATGATAGATTCCCTCTTATTAAAGTAAATTGAAAATTAGAGATATTAATATTTTAAAGACTTATCTGGATACCATATATATTAAGAATATAATAAATA